GTTGTGGCAGGGGGTGTCACAGTCTACTGGTTTGACATGATTGTCTGGCCAGGGTGTTGCTGGGGGTGCCAATTTGGTATGGCTACCTCAGTGTCTGCTTGGTTGGCCACTAGTGCCTTGTGTGCATGGTTACCTTGGGTCTTAGGCCTCTCCGGGGAGCCGCCTTTCTGATCAGCATGCACTCAGCCGGGCTGCTAGGTCGTGTGCTGGCACCGCAGGGCGTGTGGTCTCTGGGGAGCTTCCACCTCCCCTGCTGGACGTCTCCCTGCTCCTTGCGTACTCAACCAGGTTGCTGGGTCGTGCACTGGCACCACAGGGCATGTTGTCTCTGCAGAGCTCCCTCCTCCCCTGCTGGATATCTCCCTGCTCCACGCACACTCCTTCCGTGAGGTGCTCTTCAGTCCATGCCCAATACAGCTCCTCCTATCAGCATTTACAATACTAGCTACTGTTTATTGATTGCTACTCATGTGCCAGATATTGTGCAATGTGCTTTCTTGGATTATCGTTTCCACGCCACAATGAAGTGTAGACGCTTTTATTATCCTCACTTTACTTTTAGTATCTGTCAGCCTAATAGAAATACATCATATTTATAATGATTTTGTACAATACTCTTGTGTAGTTATAAAAATATGTGTTGAGGGCCGGCCCGGTGGCGCACTGCTACAGTGCGCCGCTTGGGAGCGCGGTGGCGCTCCTACCGAAGGTTCGGATCCCACATACAGACCGGTTCCCGCTCACTGGCTGAGCGAGGTGCGGGCGTGACACCGAGGGTTGCGATCCCGTTGCCGGTCCCGGTCCGGGCGCGATACTGAGGGTTGCGATCTGTTGCTGGACACGAGAAAAGACAAAAAGGAAAAAAAAAAAATGTGTTGATCTTAAAGATTGTATAGTTATGCCTAAGAGGTTCTGTGTTTAGCTGTTATTCTTGTAGGAAGGACAATTTAGTTATTAAGTGCTAGGAATATCCTTGTTTTTTCTAGGCAGTACTTTACCTCATTCCAGTTTGTCTGGGCCTTTTGGGATCAGAAACAAATGGCAAGAATTCTGCAAATAGCAGGAGTGGAAGTTTTGCTTGGTGCTGAACAGGGACAATAGTATTCGATCATGAAAAGAATTTTAGATAACCTGATTTTTCAAATATTCAGGTATTTCTCATTCTTGACTGATAACATTTGGTCCTAGGCAAAGTACAAAGGGAAAAAAATGATATGTTCCAAATAGACAGCATAGATTAGATCATTATCTCACCAGATTGAATGTGGGTTTAAGAAGGAACTAATGGATGGTGAGGAAATGAGCTTACTATGTGTGACCTTATTTAAATGAATTGTTCTTATTAGTAATATTAAGATATAGACTTTGTATCTAATATTCTGTGACTTGATGTAATTATTATAGCCATATTAATTCATGTACAAAAAATTTGTCACAGATTATCCAGATAATTAAAGGAAGAATCAAGGAGGATTAGAGGGATGCAGAGGCAGGGAGGGACACTAATATGCAAAGGTAATTGCCTCAATGCTTTTCTTAAATATTAGAAAATCCTCATATCCTCTGCAAAGAACAAGCAGCTTTTACTTGAGAATGATGATAATATATTCTATTGCTCTCTTTGTAAAATAATTATTAATTCAAAGAAAAAATTATTAAAGTAGGGTGGAAGATTGCCAATAATAAGGTAAAACTTTGACTGGTTAATGGTTGGATTTGAGCATTAGTACTGGACTCAGAAACTCACAACTTACAGCCAGATTGTTTTACTGTGGCTTTAGGCAACCTACTTTTTTCTATTTTATTTTTCTATTTCTGTAATTAGAAAAGCTAATATTCTCCTACATTTCTTAATGTGATTAAGACTTGCATGGCAGTAGTGCCTTTAAGTAGCAACTTATCAAACATGTCTATAATTGAGATGATCTTAGATCCCTTGCAACTGTAAAGGAATATAGAAATATTAAAATATGTCTCACTGAATTTCTGAATGGAGAGATACCTTTGTGTTTGAATGGAAAACAACTCAGCAGCGCTGCGGAGCTCTCAGAGGAACAACAGCTGTTAGTCATTTCAATAACTGATAGCATTTTGTAAGGTATACCTTTGAGGAAAGTGTACCATTAAATTACTAAAGGCATACTTTTAATGGTTCAAAGACTGACATTCTCAGACCAAACCCTCTAATAAGAGTTTTTGGCAAGTGAAATTCAAGTGTTTTTAACCACCAATATTAAGTCTTGAATTTATGAGTTCCTATCTACTTTGTTAAAACTAAAGAAGTGTCATCTTAATATTGACATGGTATCTTTAATTTTACAATCAAAGCTTTTATTTATTGAAATGACATCTAATGTGTATATTAACTATCATAAATATTCAGCTAGGATATGAAAAAAATTGTTTTTAAGCTTCACGCACGTGTTGACCTTTAAGTGCTTTATAATTTGATTAGATCAAAGGAATAATCAGCCATATTTTGGCATACTTTAGCATATTTCCATATATATTTGTATTCTCAAGAATATTTTGTCCTATACTTTATTTTAGTGATCGTGGTGGAGAAGATCCAAACCAGAAAGTAATCCATGGGGTTATTAACTCCTTTGTTCATGTTGAACAGTATAAGAAAAAATTCCCCTTAAAGGTAAACAGTTTCCTTTAAATACATAAATACTCAAACCTTTAATTTCTTAAATTACTTTTTCTAATTTTTTTCTAATATGATTTTAATTGATTTATTTAGTTTTATCAGGAAATCTTTGAGTCTCCCTTTCTGACTGAAACAGGAGAGTATTACAAACAAGAAGCTTCAAATTTATTACAAGAATCAAACTGCTCACAGTATATGGAAAAGGTAAGAAATAAAACATATGAGTAGTCTATTGTATATCCAGCATGGTTAAATTTAACATAGTTTTCTTCGTTAATATATTTTTTTGGTGGAAAAAGCTTCTGTTTATTTGATCATTAAATGCGAGTTATAGTTTATGTGTAACATACTGAGGAAAAAAATGCTTTTCCAGTTTTCATCATGGATAATGCGTTTTGATAATTCTCGATTGCTTGGTTTGCTTGTCCTTAAAATTAATATATGCACATGTTTGGCAAAATAGTAAATTGGATTTTGTGCTTAGTGACTTGTTTAGGGAATAGGATAAGTGCAGAAGCTAGGTGTTGGGATTTTTTTCTTTGAAATGGAAGGAAAAAATTAGAGAAAATATAATAATTCTAGATACTTGGATTAGTCGTTCTTTTTTTTTTTTTTTTTTTTTTTTTTTTTTTTTT